CTGAACATTCATATAATTTACAGTCTTTTTGCTAGTATAATTTGCAACATAGCAACTCCGGTTGCTCATTTTATTGTTTTTACCTATTTTTTTAATAAAAAGTAAAATGTATACGTGTATTTGATACGCCAAAATTACAAAATATCGCCCTAAAATACTCGAATTATCCGCAGCTTGCGCTAGTATCGCTTTTACTTCCCCGACCATGACTTCGCACTGATCGAATAGACCGCAGTCATGTTTTAACATACCTTAGCGTGCTAAACGTTCTTTCGATTAACTCTGTCGTTGGTGAAAGAGCCATAAATAATTTTTAAACCACTTTGTACGTCTGGAGCAATTACAAAATGTTTAGACGCTATATCATTAATGGAGAGCTCATTGTGTGCAGAAAGCTCTTTCGTATTCCAGTTTGGTATTCGGCTTCAAAATTGTCGATTCCAAATTTTTCCACCACTTTCATTTTGTTAGCGGTAGTGAAAAAAAAAGTATTTTTTATGTTTTTGGGATGTACGTGCTTAAGGAAAAACTAACAAAGTCTTTGGAAAAGCGGAAACCAGATATGCAATAAATATATTCAACCTATAATATTCTTCAACTATATTAGCCTGAATATTATTTCTATGAGATTGTTTTTCGTAATGCATATCTTATGCATTGTTGATTAAGCCGTAAAAGCCAGGGGGGGCTACTGCCCCCCCTTGCCCCCCCCCTCCCCCAAACGACACCCATGATTTCATGTAAGTACTTTTTATTTGTTGGTAAAAAAAATTTTCCACACCGATTCTGATTAATGAGCACTTGCAAGGCAATATGGCCACTAACAAATGACCCGCTTTGCTCAATCTATATAACTATATATTGATATGATATTTTGATTCAAAATAAGAATTATTATATATTTTTGGTTTTCACATTTGTAAATTTGTTAATCAATGTTTAATGGGTAAGGTCGGTCCTGAAAAGTGAAAAATTATTTTTTTAAAAGAATCTGTATGTTGATATTGAGAATTGTCATAAAAGTTTTGGAAGTTGTCAGACGGAAATTTAAAAAAAAAAATAAAAAATTAAATATTGTAAATAATGACCTGTGTATTGGATATTTTTATTTGGAGCACAAATAAAACAATTTTAAAAGGAAAGTAAGGTAAATTTTGATGAAAACATTAAAGGAGGAAGTGTCAGGTAGAGCATTAGGACAGAAGCAGATTTAAAAAGTGCAGGGGGAAAAGCAAAGTAAGCAGTTAGGTGCAAATAAGGTGCAGAGAGAAAAGCAAAGTAAGCAGTGAGGTGCAAATAGGATGCAGAGGGAAAACAAAAGTAAGCAATAAGGTGCAAATAAGTTGCAGAGGAAGCCGGCGAGTCCAGGAAGAAGAAGGAAAACTTTTAGCACATATAAAATCATCAATTATATTTTATTTTGTAGTTTTAAAATAAATTTCTGTAAACCAACCAAACCCAAAATCTTTATTGAACATGGTTCTGCTACTTACTTTACAAATTCCTACAGTATTTTATCATATTTTGATGTTGAATTTGAGAGTGACTCATCAAATAATTTACATGTTCATATAGCTGAATTTAAAGAATCTGGTGTATCGAAGGTATATTAAAGTTAAAATCTAAATTTAATAAGATAATATACAATCCTTTATGGTTCGCGATTGTTCCCATGCGTTAGCTATACCTTTAAATAAAATATTTAATTTGTCACTGCATATTGGTACATTTCCAAATGCATGGAAAAGGTCAAAAATCTGTCCTGTTTTTAGAAAAGGTACAAAAAATTGCATTGAGAACTATCGACCCATCACTATTATATGTAATTTTGCGAGTGTTTGAAATTTTAGTATACGATAATATAATACCAGAAGTTAAACATCAGATAATGGAAGAACAACATGGTTTTAGTTAGAACAGGTCAACAATAACAAATCTTTTCTCATTTACACAATATAATTCTACAATAGTTGATGGCGGCGGTTAACTAGACGTAAGGCTTTCGACAAACTCGATTAGAATAGAATATTAATTCAGAAGCTTAGCAAGTCCAGCCTCACGGCACCATTTTCTGTTTTTTTATAGATAGATTTTGACTATTTCACACAAGATGTATTGTTAGATTACCTCTAACCAATAAGACTATATCGCCGACCTAACTTCGACACGCCGAGGTAAATCAATCTGCCTTAAAGTTTGTGTGTTCTTACTAGGGAAGTAAAAAGTGAATGTACTAATAAAATAAGAAAAAAGCTTATTTATCATTGCCTAGTCTAAAGCCTAAACAAACAGGTATGAGGAGCATTGTAAAATGAGCGAAAGTGATTCCAAGAATGGAAAAAAACCGTTATGTTACCAATTTGAATAGCTAAGTTCTTAGGAGCCAAATAAATTTAAAGAAATGTGTAACTTTTTTAATATTCACTCGTTATATATTTTGTATGAGATACTTACTAGACGTTAGCAGCAAGGTGTGCATCTCAAAGAACAGATGGATCGGACCATACAAAATTATGGAAAGAAACGGACCAGTCATCTATAGAGTATTACCGCTAAATCGAAGATCATCACAAGTAGTACACATTAATAAACTAAAACGGTACTACGGGAAAGAAGATGACGAACAAAATGAGTACACAAAAGAGCCAGAACAAAAAACAATAATCGAAGCGACAACCAGGATGTAGAAATTTCAAAGGCAGCCACATTACCGACCTGGATAGAAAGAAAACAGGAAGATGCGAGACAATCAACAATGAGGAAAAGAAGAAATAGCACACAAGTGGATAGAGGCACCGTACTACAACCCATACCAACAAGTAGACGATCGACGAGAATAATAAACAGAATTAACAGTACCCCAAACAGAATAAATCTAAGTAAAATAATAAGAAATAGAAAAAACAATGAAATGGAAAAACAAAGAGAGAAAAAACTGAAGATTGTATCCAAATATACAGACACAGAAAACTTCGAGGATTGCAGCACCCAAGAATTCTCAAATACAGAAGATTTTAAAGATTGCGAATAAATTAAGAAAACAGTTCATTAGATATAAAAACTTAATATAAATAAACAATACGACACTTATATTGTAATAGGATACCAAAACCTTAAAATATTATTAAGGCTGAGAAAAAGCGAGCAGCGGAAATATAAACATTAAACAGTTCATCAAATTTCTAGAGGCTTTCGACGGCTAGACAGAGAAAGCACTACTGACAGGCATCCCGACGGATTTACGCAATGAAAGTACACTCTGCGCATCAAGTATTTCACTATTTCATTCAGACGTAAATGTCAGATGTAAATTTCGCTACAACATTTCTTTAATTTTCGTTTGTTTTTTGCTCATTACAGTTTAATAGAACCTAAGTATGGAGTTTAATAGCAAATTAAGAGGCCGCGTGATTAACAGTCAATCTCGCGAAATAATAGCCAATGTTATAGAGTTTATGAGAAGAGAAGGAAACTTTAATTCACCTTCAATACCATTTAAAAATGTAAATGATCGTGTTGCTGCAGCCACAGGAGTATCTAAAAACACTGTCGTCCGCATTTCTGGAGAGAAAAAAAGAATCGATAACCGTGAGGTATCGGAATTTTCATCACCAAGAAAAACCATTAAAAAACCAAAAACAGTTAATGATGTAGATGAAGCTGCACAAGAATCAAATTTTATTTTTTTATTATTAGATAGCTATTTTTGTTTCTGAGTTGTGTTCATTTACAGGCTCAATTTTTTTCCGTTTCTCCTTTTTGATTTTATATGGGGTTTCAAGTTGTTTTTGACTTATTTCGACGTAAATCACAACAACACACTTTTTTAATAAAGCAAACAAGTATTAAGAGGTATATGTACGTGTAAACTACAATTACAAAAAATTGATATGAAACCCATGAAACCACCAACAAAAATGTAAAGCTAGCTTCCGTACTAGAACATGGTGTCATTCGTCGAGATAATTTATCGTTTTGTTTAATAGATCAAGAAATGTAAATATTCCCCTGTTATTTTTTATAAAATTATAAGAGAAATAAATTTTTTTCTAAATAGTATAGTTTATTATTTTGTGGAAAAACAAAATTTCGAAAATTTTAGTAATGTTTCAGAAACAACCGTTATTAATAATAGGTACCATTTTCCTTAATAAGGTAGAAATAAAATATAAACTATTTCCACGATTTACAAAGGCCTACAAAAAAATTATAGGTATTTTCCGCTATCCTATAAAATTTATATTTTCTGACTCAATTTCAAAAGGTTGAAGGAATTCCAAAACACCTTTTATGGCATAATAATTATTTTCAATTCTACATACTATCTTTAGCTGCTTTTAAAAACGTTCTAAGAAAGTCCAATCAGACCAATTTAATCCCTAAACTATTCCACACTTTTAAAATTTAATTACCTAAAAATATTAAAAACTATTTAAAATAACTTGTTTAGCAGACTGTACAATAGCTATCTTAGTCACACGTAGCGCGTTCTCTGTCTGGGCGTCGAACACCTCTAGAAATTTGATGAACTGTAGGTCATAATATAATATTTCAAAACAACAATGACATCGAACTTAGAAACAGAATTAAGAAAAAAAAAACATGACAAATAAATTATTAATAAATAGTAATTTAATATTTTAACAGAAATGCAGCTCGAATTTTCACAGACTTACACCAGTAGCGTAGCATAAGGTATATACGAGTTAGGACAGAAAAAAAAAATAGGAATAATTATAATAAGTTTGTAACATATAAATATAGGGCATTTAATATACAGGGAGAACACTAGAGTTTAAAGAAATTATTAATATATTGTTTATAGGTATTATCAACAAAGAGGATAAAAAGAATGAAGAATGACTCGAAAACAACGTCACACAGCCTTAGCTTTGGGAAGCGAAGATGTCACAGTCCAAGTTATCTAGAGAAATGAATTCCAGCGACAACACATTTGGACCTGCCTAGTAGAAGTCACCAAAATAATGTTTCACTGTGGTATGTACAATCACAATTCCATTGTGGAAAATGGAGTATCCAAGTCAATCCACAAGCTAGGAGCAGAGGGGTGCAGAACCATGCACAGATACCAGTCCCTACAGATCTTCCGACAAACCATTGGCAACATAGCAATGAATGGCACAACCACAGCATCCAGCACGCTGCAAGGACAGTTAGACGACAAAGGAACATGCCAAGGGGTAACTTACCAAGAAAATGAACGACTATGGACCGATGTAGTAATAGTAGCAGCAGTATCAATTGTGACCAGAGATTATGACACGTCAGTAAGCCTAGATGATAACAAGATACACCTACAAGAAGGCGTAACATGTCCATACCTAAAAGGATATTGTTTCGACTTAACTTATGGAGAAACAATCTAGGAGTAATTCAACCCCCCATTGCGCAAAGATCACCTGAGTTGATTATACTAAGAAAAAGGAGAAACAATAACTAATAAGAAAACAAGAAGAAATAATAGTAGTCGAAGAAAGTACCAAATTATTTGCATTAGCACTACAGAAAAGAGCTACACTATACGGCATTGAAGTATGGCAAACAGAGCACTTACGAATCATAGTCTACGTACAAGAAAATTCCAAGAAAATCAACCCAACAATGCTTTTACAGACTTGATGAACTATTTAAATAGTAAATTCTAACATAGTGAACAAGCCTACAAGAGACAATTAGATAAAGTGTACATAGACACAGTACATAGACACAGTACATAGATGTTGCCAGACAAAGAGAGAAATATTGAAAAATCGATTACTAATGGCTCCAATAATACCCAACGCTGTATGTTAACTAAAGCAGCATGAGCCAGGATATATAGGAAGAGTCCTTGGAGAAGTACTATATATCATGAAATGCACACCGAAAATAGTTATGGTAAGACGAACAGATAAGTGTTATTACGAACTGCCAATCACAATGTCAAACCAATCAAAGTTTATGTCGCCATTCACCAGAGTAGTTTAAGATTACGGAAAATAAATTGACTGTAATAACCTGATACCACCTCTATACTACGTAGATGACCAATGGATAGGCCTAAATCCACATCCTAGAGTTGTATCACCACCAAAAGAACTAGAAGTAGAAATGGAGCCAAAAATACAGTTCAAACCCATCCAGCCAATAGGAGCAGAAGGTCTCTACACACCGAAAGAGATCATTGATGCTCAAAGAACCCTCAAATTCGGTACAGAGAGAAAGGCAGTAGAGAATATCCTCATCAGACGAGCAGCAGGACTGGAAGCCAACAGCCAAAAATACTCCGTAGCAAATATTTTCAACACTAACGAGATCCAACAGCTAGCAAAATCATTCATGAAACAGTTATAGGGATGGTTTATCGAAATAGAAACATTTATTAGTGGACTTATGGGATTTTACGTAATTTTCCGAATGATTCATTACGCTGGCAGCATAATACTCAACAGCATGAGAATCTACCAAACTCTCGGATGCGGAGTACAACTAATAGCCAGCATAGGAACAACAATGACGTCATGGGTACTACACAGGAACAAGTATCGCCAACCAAAACACGAGGATGACGACAAACAAACAATGGAAATGCAGAGCATGGATTAGGGACAGTCTCAGCAAATGGACCAAAAACATTGGACAGAATGAAGCAATACGAAAATGGACATGTAGGAAGGGCAGATGATGGCAGCCAACAAAGCAAAGGACGTGACGAGGAAGAAAGAAAAAGAGGCAAACTAACCATTGTAGGATAATTGAATGTAAAAATTTATATGCTTAATTTAAGAAAAATATTCAGATTAGGGAGTTCTAAAAAGAATTGAACAAGTAAGTTTTTAATTTTTTTGTCGGAGAGGGGAGTAATGTAATAATTTGGCAATTATTTTAATTATTCTAAAGATTTTACATAAAAATCTCATATAAATTGTCAAGTACTTTCATTAGTGATTATACATAAAGATTTATATATACGTAATTTTATATTATAAATAATACAAAAATTGCCCCAGTCGCACTAGTTTCGCAGACTCACCGTTCCTGGTATAGTTGGTAAATAGAAGTTTATAATATTTAGGTATACTACTTGTTTTTATGACTTATGAAATGACCACTTACTCTATTTCGGTCTCCAGCTCTTGGGCTACTCGCATTAATGTTTATGACTCAAGTTAGCAAAATGAAGGTAAAAAGATAATTAACACCATCTGGAGTTTTTACAAACTGCCTAACGAGGTCTTAAAACAGAATTATCTTAGACAGAAATAACTTATATAATTTAACGAAGAAGATTACCAAAATATTTAGCAATAATTATGTAACGTTTGTTTATTTTAAAAACAATTTATTATTATAATTTATTTGTACCTAAATATTTATCAGCAATAGTCACTGGTATAAGTCTAATTCATATAACAATTCGACTGTCAATCTCTTACTAGGTCTCGACTTTGACTGTCTCCACCGCATGCAAACTATTTATATCCATAAGTAAGCGGTGATAATCTTCGATTGTAAATTCTGGTGAGATCGTAATATTCTATAAGCACCTCCGCCATTTATTAAAATATGCATTTACCAAATTCGTAATCGTTTTCGTATATTCTATTAATGTTTCACTACGACTAGTCATAGGCGTAGCACCGGAGATTAAGATATTTATTAAAATATTCTTTGGCAATCAACCAAGTGGGTCCTTGAAAGCCAAAACAAGGCAGAGAGAGACTTAAAGGATTCGAACATAACCAATTGACCGAAAATTGCTCACTTGACAATTATTTACAAGTCATACTGAAAAATAAGTGTGGCACTCGGAGAGAGCCGCGGTAAAGCTATTGCATAGCATTTTTTAAAAAACCTATGCAATTATAATTATTTATTTTATTTATGTAGTATTTTTTTTTTTTCGTTGGTATTTATTGAATAAATGAGAAGTTAATATTGTTTAAAGTATTTTTGGAAAATACCACGTCAATGGTGGTCCCATATTTTGTTGTGGATTCTTGTGGATCATTATTCATTTTCAAATTTAATTTTTCCGAAATTGTGTCTAAAAGAGATAGAATCAGTTATGAGCAGTTAGCAGCTGGTCTACACGCATACGTCTAGTCGCACGCACACAAACACCGTGCCGAAGTCTGCCGAACTAAAACGACGTTAGACGATGCACTACTTTCAACGCCGCACCGCTGTTCCGGTCGAAGTAGGGGTCAGGTTTATTTTCGTTACGGAATTTCTTAGTCGATTTTTCGATTTTTCGATTTTTCGATTTTTCGATTTTTCGATTTTTCGATTTTTCTATTTTTTGATTTTTCGATTTTTCGATTTTTCGATTTTTCGATTTTTCGATTTTTCGATTTTTCGATTTTTCGATTTTTCGATTTTTCGATTTTTCGATTTTTCGATTTTTCGATTTTTCGATTTTTCGATTTTTTGATTTTTCGATTTTTCGATTTTTCGATTTTTCGATTTTTTGATTTTTCGATTTTTCGATTTTTCGATTTTTCGATTTTTCGATTTTTCGATTTTTCGATTTTTCGATTTTTCGATTTTTCGATTTTTCGATTTTTTGATTTTTCGATTTTTCGATTTTTCGATTTTTCGATTTTTCGATTTTTCGATTTTTCGATTTTTCGATTTTTCGATTTTTCGATTTTTCGATTTTTCGATTTTTCGATTTTTCGATTTTTCGATTTTTCGATTTTTCGATTTTTCGATTTTTCGATTTTTCGATTTTTCGATTTTTCGATTTTTCGATTTTTCGATTTTTCGATTTTTCGATTTTTCGATTTTTCGATTTTTCGATTTTTCGATTTTTCGATTTTTCGATTTTTCGATTTTTCGATTTTTCGATTTTTCGATTTTTCGATTTTTCGATTTTTCGATTTTTCGATTTTTCGATTTTTCGATTTTTCGATTTTTCGATTTTTCGATTTTTCGATTTTTCGATTTTTCGATTTTTCGATTTTTCGATTTTTCGATTTTTCGATTTTTCGATTTTTCGATTTTTCGATTTTTCGATTTTTCGATTTTTCGATTTTTCGATTTTTCGATTTTTCGATTTTTCGATTTTTCGATTTTTCGATTTTTCGATTTTTCGATTTTTCGATTTTTCGATTTTTCGATTTTTCGATTTTTCGATTTTTCGATTTTTCGATTTTTCGATTTTTCGATTTTTCGATTTTTCGATTTTTCGATTTTTCGATTTTTCGATTTTTCGATTTTTCGATTTTTCGATTTTTCGATTTTTCGATTTTTCGATTTTTCGATTTTTCGATTTTTCGATTTTTCGATTTTTCGATTTTTCGATTTTTCGATTTTTCGATTTTTCGATTTTTCGATTTTTCGATTTTTCGATTTTTCGATTTTTCGATTTTTCGATTTTTCGATTTTTCGATTTTTCGATTTTTCGATTTTTCGATTTTTCGATTTTTCGATTTTTCGATTTTTCGATTTTTCGATTTTTCGATTTTTCGATTTTTCGATTTTTCGATTTTTCGATTTTTCGATTTTTCGATTTTTCGATTTTTCGATTTTTCGATTTTTCGATTTTTCGATTTTTCGATTTTTCGATTTTTCGATTTTTCGATTTTTCGATTTTTCGATTTTTCGATTTTTAGATTTTTCGATTTTTCGATTTTTAGATTTTTCGATTTTTCGATTTTTCGATTTTTCGATTTTTCGATTTTTCGATTTTTCGATTTTTCGATTTTTCGATTTTTCGATTTTTCGATTTTTCGATTTTTCGATTTTTCGATTTTTCGATTTTTCGATTTTTCGATTTTTCGATTTTTCGATTTTTCGATTTTTCGATTTTTCGATTTTTCGATTTTTCGATTTTTCGATTTTTCGATTTTTCGATTTTTCGATTTTTCGATTTTTCGATTTTTCGATTTTTCGATTTTTCGATTTTTCGATTTTTCGATTTTTCGATTTTTCGATTTTTCGATTTTTCGATTTTTCGATTTTTCGATTTTTCGATTTTTCGATTTTTCGATTTTTCGATTTTTCGATTTTTCGATTTTTCGATTTTTAGATTTTTCGATTTTTCGATTTTTCGATTTTTCGATTTTTCGATTTTTCGATTTTTCGATTTTTCGATTTTTCGATTTTCGATTTTTCGATTTTTCGATTTTTCGATTTTTCGATTTTTCGATTTTTCGATTTTTCGATTTTTCGATTTTTCGATTTTTCGATTTTTCGATTTTTCGATTTTTCGATTTTTCGATTTTTCGATTTTTCGATTTTCGATTTTTCGATTTTTCGATTTTTCGATTTTTTCGATTTTTCGATTTTTCGATTTTTTCGATTTTTCGATTTTTCGATTTTTCGATTTTTCGATTTTTCGATTTTTCGATTTTTCGATTTTTCGATTTTTCGATTTTTCGAT